TTGAGTGATAATACATAAAAATGATGTGGAAAATCCATTTGGCATTTAAATGAAAGTAAAATGAGTTGGATATTCCGAGTTGGCCAACTAACGTCCAAAAGGGCATATGTAGACCAAAAGTTGGACGACGAGGGTATAAATGGACCAAACTTTAAACGGAGGGTATATCTAAACCTTTTCAAATAGTTTAGGGGCATATTTGACCCTTCTCCCTAAATTGATTAATTTAATTATAACAAGATTATTAAAATTTTAGCATTAGAGAAAACATTAACATTAGTAAGTAAACATCCAAAATTTTCTGTCTACGATCCTTAGCAATAGAGTACCTCTTAGCAATGTAATTGAGAAACTCTCTGCTACCAAAATTTTGGATGCTAATTATGAGTAATTTGCCCTGGCTACGATCCACGGCTATGCGATACATCCTATCCAGCAACATATACAGCACCAGAGGCATTCTACTAAAATGAGATTCATGCTTCAAGTCAATAACACGCCACATAGCGGGATCATGGCACACCTTCCACCATGTGCTACAAACCCTCTGTACACTCTCCAGTATCTCTATCGTTCCCACACGCCGCAGAATGCCCATTGTGATTTCGGCTGGAAGCTCAACCCACGGTGGCGAGGGTGAAGGTGGTGGGTGCAGTTGAAGATGCTTTCAACATTTTACTTTACTGCAGAAATAATCTCTTGTGATTTGATTTTAGAGACAGCAAAAAAGGAAGTGAAAGCGTCACATAAACTCTTCAAAGTCCATTAGGTTAGTTATACTCTTTATTTTTCACCCCAATATAATTAAGTAAAAGATGATTCATCGATTTTATAAAATGGACAATATTGATGAAGATTTCAAAATAGTATAGTGAAACAATTATTGTCGGATGAATTGAATATTTATTATGCATTTTAAAAATAAGGTACAATTTCCTTTGGGGTACTCATTCCTTTTTCTTTTAATGAGGATTGGGAAGGTGAAAAGACTCGTTAATTAAAACTTAAGAAACTTTGCTCCTCTATCCAATTTAATGGAAAACTGATACAGAAAATTGAATGAATAATTAAGAACAAAGAGAGTAAATACAGAAAATGTGAAAACTAAGAGATGGAATTAATAGTTGACAAACCCAAGGAATATAGCTTCTGCCTGTCTCTTTCTTTCATGTATTGAATTATTTCTTTGATGGAATTAATAGTTGATATAAGGTTTTCTTCTTTTTTGTGGTTATTGAAACATGACTCATTTCGATAGTTGAGTCAATTCAATTAGATTAATTGAGTGATGCACATCAAAGTTACCAGAAGAATCAGAGTAAAATTATCACCTTTAGTAAGAGAAGTTGTATTGGCAATTCTTTTTAACTTTGAAAATCAAAATTCTGTTAAATTGAATAAATGTATACTTCAAATCGATATTTTTTCCAAAGATTTAAAGCTTGTGCACTCTACGGGTATAGTAACCGAAATGGGTAACAATCACATAGGGCCATACGGAAATCAACACTAATGCAAGCAGCAGCTGTGCAAATCGAGAGAAAAACCAACATAACTTTTTTGTTGAGATTTGCATAAATAAATACAAGCTATGAAGTAAGAACAACAAGGAGTTTTACGAGGAAACCTTATTTATTTAAGGGAGAAAAAAACTACCAGTTGTCACACAAGATTCTCAATTGTTTAGTGAATAGAGACTGGAAATACGCATTACGAGATTCACCTTTTAATTTCACACGCAAGAGCTCAATGATACATGTAGCGACCTTCTCCTCAATCAGATCATACTTTCTTAAAGATTAAAACAGAGTTCTTTGATAGGTAACACTACTGCGAATGAACCATACACTCACTCAAATTACTTTACATCTTCAAACATCTCCACCATTTGCATCCTTCGCAAATTCCGTTGACACTTTGATTTGTTGGTGCCTTTTAAGAAGGGACATAAAACTCATGTACCTGCTATCATTCTATTATCATACTTCTTCAAACACCAAGACTTTGGGTGGTGAATACAAAAGGTAATATCTCATGAAAGTATAATTTGTCACAAGAATCTACAATCGGCATTTTGCTATACAACTAAAAAAATTGTCTTATGATTTGAAAACTCAAATTCCTGCGACAACCTATCCAATCCGGAAGCACAGATTAAACAACACTTGATTTCCATAAAAATTAATTACATCCAAAATTAATAAGAGATTATAAAGAAAAATGAGTAGACAATACAGAGAGGTACAAGGTTTTAATTCTCAAGAAATCATGTAAAATTAGTAGTCGCTCTATATTTGTCTAAATAATCCTTTCACAAGTATCATTTAAACTTTACTAGGAGTAGTAAATACACCACATGTTCTCCCAAGCAAATTCTAGCAAATAAACCAATGCAACCACCAGATATGTTCTAAAACAAAATACATTTAGTCATCTGTGAAGACAAAAAATGGAAGAAAGATGAAATAATGGTGGGTAAATTTCTTTCTTCATGACATTCTGTAAGTTACCAGTTTTCATTTTCACTATCAATGTAACGAACAATATTGCTAAGATAGTCTTGGTATTCGTATTCATCATAGGACCAGCATCCATAGTAATAATGTATTTTTGAATCAAATTCATAATCATGAGTGGAATCATGAGGTTGCTTTAGATCAACAATTTGTTGCCTGCATCTTCTTCCTAAATCCCCTTCAAGATTAACATTAGAGTGACGCAAGTCAAGCGATACAAGGTGTGGACAGCCATCAAGAATGGCTTGAAGTCCTACATTTGTCAATGGATTCAAAAGTAGAGCAAGGTGTCGCAATTCAGGCATACTTTTAGCAATAGCTAGCGCTTGAGCATCATCTGTAGACAGTGAATATCCAATTCTACTGGCATTCAATGTAAATGACTTAAGCAGAGGGCAATAACGACCTACACTTTGTATATCCTCTGCAGTAATAAAGGTCAAGTGAGTGTGCAACTCCTCCAACAAAGGGAAATTCTTGGCAGCTGAAACCAAAGCTCCAGCAACGTTACCACAGTTGACAAGTCGGAGATGTCTGAGCTGACTTGATCTGTAGGAAATATTTAACTAATTGAGTAATGACATCTACACCACAAGGAAAAAGACAGACATTGCACCACAAATATAAGAATTTTACTAAATTTGATTTTTAAACATGAAAGAGAAGTACCTCTCAGCAATGTAATTGAGCAGGTCTTTGCTACCAATGCTAATTTTGAGTAATTGGCCCTGGCTACGATCCACCGCAATCCGACATATCTTATTCAACACACCACGCATGTCACTATTAGGGTCATATTTCAAGTCAATAACACGCCACATAGCAGGATCATGGCAAACCTTCCACCAAGTACTACAAACCCTCTGAGCACTCTCCACTATCTCTACCGTTCCCAAACGCTGCAGAATGTCCATAGTAATTTCCACCGGAAGCTCAGCCCACGACGCCGATTGCAGCGGTGGTTCAATTGTGGATGCTTTATGAACAATCGGCATTTTGCTATACAACTAAAAAAAATCTTCAAATTCCATCTAGGTTTTTATTAGGGAATTATATCAGTTTTTTGTCAAAACTGTCCTTAAATTATACTCTACATTTAAATTACATTCTTAATGTATTATTCTTAACAGAAAACATATCTCAAGTATTTAAAAATGAACAATTCATCCTTCTATTTGAATTTATTAGAAAATCAACACATCTCACAAAAATTATTATTTTTTGAAATGTCAAAACTACTATTTTGAACTTTTTTGGTAATTGAAACATTTAATTTCATAGTTTTTCTTTTATTTTTCATGTTATTTGATATTAAAAATATTATCAGTTGAAATATGTTTCTTCTCAATTGAATATGCTAGAAGTGACGTTTATTGGTGAATTACACTTCTAATAATGTAGAATGAAACTTAAATGCGACACACGATCTGATCACCTCAATATTATAGTTAAGGAATATCTATGAGATTTTGGTCATAGTCTAGGAGATACTGGTGCATTTTTCCTTAAGAAAACAATGATTGACATAGTGAGTATATCCCTTACCCCTATCAATATTTTTTCCGAACATTTAAGGCCTCATGCACTCTTCACATATGGCTTGATTTGTGAATCTTCAAATTTCCTTGTATGCCACCAAATTCTTTCAAGTGCATTTCAGTTGGTCCGAAACAGAAGCAAAACAGAGACGAGAGACGAAAAACAGCACATTTCATGCAAAACCAGCGCAGTCCTCATCTGAAAATTCATAAAAAGGGACATAAAACTCATGTTCCTAAGTCATGTATAATTATAGGTCCCAACCTATTAAAATCTGATTAGCTATGTCACCTAAACCAAGTAGATTATTCTGAAGAATACATTTTAGGTAACAAAAGCTCAATTTTCTAGAAACTTTTCCACCTGCTATCATTCTATTATCATACAAAAGGTAATATCTCGTGAAGGTACAATCTATCACAAGAAACAAACGTGCTTCCAGAATTTATATTTAATTGGAAGATGCAATGACAACTCAAATTAAATTGATAACATCCAAAATTGACAAGAGATTATAAAGAAAAAAGAGTAGACAATACAAAGAGGTACAAGGTTTCAATTCTCAAACAATCTTGTCAAATTAGTATCGCTCTGTATTTGTCTAAACAATCCTTTCACAAGTATCATTTAAACTTTACTAGGAGTAGTAAATATACCACACGGTTCTACCAAACAAATTCTTGCAAAGAAACCAATGCAATCACTAGATATGTTTTGAAACAAAATCCATTTAGTCATCTCCAATGTCAATGAAAAGACAAAAGATGGAAGAAAGATGAAATAATGGTGGGTAAATTTCTTTCATCATGATATTTCTGCAAGTTACCAGTTTTCATGCACAGTCACAATTAAAGCCTGCAATTGTGCTAGAAAAGTTTGACATTGGATCAGCTGACTAAACTTGAGTGATGCATAACCATAGTTACAGAAATTTTTCAGTAGAAAAATCGGCATAAATATGGCAGCCTTCCTATTTCACATGTCAAAATTCTGCTAAATTGTGCAACTTTTACTTCAAATCGGTATTTGTTTTCAAAAAAATCTTATTTCCTCGCACACTCAGAAAGAGGAATTCGATCCATCAAACAAAACCAAAATCCTTCACAAATATTCCGGTCAACTTGTGCCTTATGCACGTCTCAACTATTTTGTGGCAACGAGTCACCTCAAATGCTAAAGGAAACGGATTATTTTGGCCACTCTGATTGCAGTTTGTGTGCAACACTAGTCACTTCACCTGTAAATGCTCCAAAAGGATGCTAAGGCGATCAATAACCTGCAAACTACGAAATGCAATGATTGCCACAACGCAATCAGCATCTGTAATTTTCAACGATACTTTCATGGAGACACTTGCTACTAAATGGACTGTTATCATAGTCAGTATATCACCATCAAAAGACGAATTATTAAAAATTTTAACATCAAATTCATAATCGTTAGTGGAACTGCAGTTATTCTTAGGACTCTTTCACCTATCAAGATATTGAAGTTCCTGCCTCATTAATTATTTCATATAAAAGATGATACTATTTCACATTATTTCTTCCCAATCCACCACATCACCTTGCCCTCTCATATCCAATACATTAAGTGGCTTCATCAAAAGCTTAATACAGATGGAGCATTTGATCCTATTAAAGAAATGTCGGAGTAGCTGGTGTTCTATGCCAAGCCAAATGGATTCAAGTTTCAACTTATTTGTTCCACCATACCTGAATCTGAACTCACTGCATTCTTAATCAATTCACAAATCACAAAAGAATCTAACCTGTCTCCACTACATATAGAAACAGGTTCTCAAGTAGTTACTCTTATACTTAAGACAGGATATGATTTCTATTTCACAAATTATTTTGGATCATCATTGAAGAGAACGTTGTAAAACATGGAATTACTTAAACAAAACGAATCATGGCATTAACCTAATACACTACATTATTATAATCCTCCCTCCTTTGCTTTACACGACAATAAGTAGGAACTTTATCCATAGATCCTATATTAAAAATGCTCAAAGTTAATATTGGATAACATCATGTACACCTCAATCTCAAACAAGGAGGAGACAACTATAAGAATCCGCAAGCAGTGGTTATAATGAGATATTCTCTGTTGACAAGTTAGTTAAGGGGTGTACATTTACAAATGATCAGTATGATCTAATTCTCAAAGTCTACCAGCAAAAGACCGATCCTACTACTATTGACTGCAGTGCTATACATGCTGCTCACATTGTATGTAAAGCAATCTTTGTGTCAAATAATAAAGTATGGATTGTAGATACAGGTGCTACCAATCACATGGTCTCTGAATCAACAGGGTCTATTATTAGCCAGTTCTTTAATGAAACAATGATAACATTTTGTGATGCAGACTAGGCTTCTTGTCCACTCACCAGAAGGTTTGTTACAGGTTACATGGTCAAGATAGGTGATTCTTTGGTGTCTTGGAAAGCCAAGAAGCAGAACACAATCTCCAGAAGTTCAGCAGAAGCTCTTCTAGTGTTTCAGAGTTAGTGTGGTTACTTGGAATGATGAAAGAAATGGGAGTTGAAGTTCAATTGCCAGTGCATGTTTATAGTGATAGCAAGGCTGTTATTTGTAGTTTTGATGATTTGACAAACTTAGGGACCTCATAAAGGTACCGGGTTTTCTACTTGAGTATTGCAGGTGTCTTGTTTGAAGTATTGCAGATGAAACAAACTCAGGGACCTAGTAGAGGTACCAGGCTCTCATGATGATGAACCAGTCGACTGCCAGCTGGAGACGGTACAGAAAGTAGGTGCACACTTCCCGATGGCGTCAGAAAAGTGTGACCTTTCCAGCCAATGGCAAAGAAGTTTAGGAAAGTGACTTGCCCATATAAAAGGCACTTTCCTAAACATTTGTGATTAGTTTTTACAACTTGATAAAAAACTTTTCAAGAACTCTTGCAAAGGCTACACAAAGCAAAGGCAGAATTATTCCAAGGACAACAGCAACATCTGGAGCTTTTCGTCTAGTTGTTTAGGAATTTATTCTCTTGTTCTTAAATTGTAAACCACTCCTAACTCTATAAAGGAATTGGCGTGTTGTGTTAGAAGTCTAGGTTGTCCAGGTGGGATGGCTTAGTGGGTAGATTGTTTTTCTACTTAGGCTTGTTGAGCAATAGAGGACTATTGCTTAACGATAAGATTGATAACTCTTTCTTACGTTTGGTGTAATCATGTTTCGCTTTTGCTTTTGAAGATTAGTGAAAACGATTGAAAATCCTGTGAGACAGGTCGTGGTTTTACTCTCTTAAGCAAGGAGGTTTCCACGTAAAATCATTGTGTTGATTTTACTGCATTTAACTTTCTGATATTTTTTCTGAAGTGAAGTAAGGGACCTGGTCCATTACTTATTAAGTGAAGGCATACATTCTATC